GTACCTCTTAACCACTGCACCACCAGAGCTCCTTAGAAGGTATACTCTGAGGATATTCAAGAGAGCCAAGACAGAGTACACAGAAAGCTTATCTCATGGCTGAAACAGTCATATTGAGACGCTCCTGCTGCTGCTGTTGTAATAAATAACTCCCAAATGTTTCATCTTATCACTTCTCTTTTCACTCAAGACTCATAAATCAGAGAGAGAGAAATTTGATCAGTCTCCTGACCGTAAAGAGGTAAAGCGTATAGATTTTGACATGGATTTTTTTTACTCCTATTTTGGAAAACAGGTGCCTGGAATTACCCTCCCACTAAAGCAACCCACAATAGAAGAATGATAATTCTCCAAATTAAAATGGGAACCTATTATGAAGAATAATGGATGTTAGACAGCCCTCGAAAAATGTCCACTTTCCTAGCACGCTCCTAAAATTGTGAAATAGCTTTGCTCAGCTTTGGTTGTTACTGTTTCCCAAAATGGTTCAGTGCTTTATTTACTTTCTGCTTTACTTACAATTGTTTATATAATTACTATTGCTTTATTATTTTCTTCCCATCACTTCAATTTATTTTACTGCTCCTTTTATAGTATCCTAAGTTTCACGCTTAGTAATTTCTTTTCAGTGCTTCTTTGTAGTAAAATTTTCTGGTGATTTGGATATAGAAATGTCTTTTCTTTTTGTTTTCTTCTATTCTTACTCAGCTTTGAAATCCTCCTTACCTAAGGTTTAATATCTGTTCCAATTGAATTTCTTTTGGAGATGAGAACTTTGATTCTACTTTTAGCAATATTATAAAGTATATCGGTAAGGATTTTGTTGGGAAAACAGGAATCACTCTAGGTATTTTAAGCAGAAATGAAGATACAGAACAGTTAGCATTCACATGGAATGGGCAACAATATCCATTTACAGTTTCCCTCCAGGCTTTATCTCCTACCCTCTGCCGTAATAAAGTCTTAAGAGATCTGGATCATTTGGACTTCCAGTAACACATCACATTGTTCTATTACATAAATTGTATTACATTGATCAGAGCAGAAGTGCAGGAGGTGGCTAGCATGCTGAATGCCTTAATAAGACACATGTACTTCAGAGGGCAGGAGATAACAATTTTTAGAAAACCAGTGCTCAGGAACCTGCCAGAATATCCTCTCTAAAGTACAAGACAAATCATTGCATCTTCCACTTCCTACCACAAAGAAAGAAACAAAACCTAGTGAGACTTTGTGGGTTCTGGGGACAACGTATTCCACACCTGGGAACACTGCTCCATCTGCCATAGCAGGAAAAGGTTCTGCAGTGATCCAGTAGACCCTATGGTGGGTATCAATGGAGTCTGAGAAAGCACCAGTGGGGAAACTAGAACACAGGACCCTGGGGTTCTGGAGCAAAGCCATGCCACCTGCTGCAGAGAATTATACTCCTTTTGAGAAAGAACTTATGTGCTTTGCGACCCTGATAAATGTGGAATAATTGATCATGGGACACTGTGTCACCATAAGGCCAAAATTGCTCATTATGAACTGGGTCCTGGCAGACTCACGAAGCATAAGGTTGAGCAGCCCGAGCAAAAATTTGTTGCAAGGTGTAAGTGTTTATTATGGACTGCCAAAAGAACGAACAAATCTGTCTTAGAAGAAGTACAGTCAGAATGCTCCTTAAAAGCAAGGATGGTGAGACTACATCTCCCATACTTTGAACATGTTATCAGGAGGGACAAGTCCCTGGAGAAGGACATCATGCTTGGTAAAGTAGAGGGTCAGTGAAAAAGAGGAAGACCCTCAATGAGATGGATTGACA